CAGAAGTCTATAGGGACAAAAAGTAGAAAATAATATAAGTTCAAAAATAAAGTAAATAGGGCAACTGCAGGCACTTGAATCAATTATTACAAACAGCATATATAATTGAAATAGTGTCTAAAAAATTATTAGTCAAACAAATATTGTTATTAATCCTCAAAATACCCTCCCTTGATTTAAACATACTTGCTTCATCATTCTTTTCCTTTTTTTTTTTTTTTTTTAATGTATTTAGTACAGGGTCTGACTACGCAGATGGGACCAACCTGTAGTGATCCTCTTGTTTTCAGCCTCCCAAGACCTGGGATTACAGGCACGTGCCACCAGGCCCAGACCAGCACTGCACGGGCATGTTTTAATCTGCTGACATATCTGTGTGACCCTACTTCATCATTCCTACTGTGCAGGATAGGCCAGAAAACATGACATATAGAGCAGTTGCATTGAATCAGTACTTTTTGTATGTAGGCCATATTTAATTAATAATAATCTTTTTTACCTCTTAGTTTTAGACTTGTAACTGACAAGTCAAAATTCCTGCTAGGATGTACCAATTAATGCTTTTTATTTTTATATAAATCATAACAGATTTTTACATACTCTGGTTGCTTTAAGATAGTTAAATGAAGGAAGAGACAGAAAAAGGAGATAAAAGTTGCAGATGAATAGATGGGATATTTGTCCTATCGCCTTCCTTGTTATAAAACCTTGTTTGAGGACTCGGAAGATAGCTCAGTGGTCTAAGTACCTGCCTGGTAAGTGCAAGGACCTGGGTTTGAACCCCAGTACCACATATCAAGCTGGCCACTGAAACTAGGCATGGTGTACACCTGTAATCCCGGTGCTGGGGAGGCTGAAACAGGAGGATCACTATGAGTGAGAGCTGTATAGTGAGACCCTGTACTAAATAAATAAAAGTCCTTTTTTTTTTTTTCTTTTTTGTAGTACCAGAGATCAAACTCCAGATCTTGAGCTTGATAGGCAGGCACTTATGCTGCTGAGCTGTCTTCCAGGCCCGAAATAAAATTTTTTTTAAAAATAAATAAAACCTTGTTTGAGATCTTAATGGCTTTAGTTTTTAACTTACATTTAGAGAAATACAGAGGGAAAATACTTTTTTCTTTTTAAGCAGTTCCAGTTTTGTAAATACAACCTGGAAGAGACGTTTGGAAGTAGATATTGAATTACTCGTAATCTTTTAAGATATTTACATGTTTTCAGATCTGACTCTGGGCAGGTGGCCCATGCCTATGATCCCAGCACTTGAGAGGCTGAGGCAGAAGGATCACAGACAGTTTGAGGCCAGTCCCGAGCTACATAGTGAGATCAAGGCTGTCGCGAACTATACATTGAGACCGTGTCTCAAGAAAAAAAGGATCTGGCTTTTTAAAAGGGAGGAAGAAAAAACAATTCTTTTAGGTTTTCTCTGGGGTCAAGCAATAGTTCTTGACCCAGTTTTTCCCTGAATTTCACAGTCCCAGTTAGTCCCATTGTTATTGTACCCGGAGAAAAATAAGTGTCCTTAGCCCTGGTACATGGCTGTTTCCAGGCATTTCTAGAGGCCCTGTAGAGTGCGCACTTGCACTATTGTCTTTCACGGTAAGATGGAAAGGTTAGAACGAAGTCACGCAGAGGGCTGCGCTTTCCTTGGGAAGTCACCACAGGGACACTCTTGCAACATTTGTAAAGAACTCAGGAGGGGTTAAAAAATCTGGAGTATCCCTGTCTATAGGAACTAAAAAGCATAAATAGCTTAGATAGGAAGATAAGCCTGTGGACATCTCAGGTTGGTTGAAAATGGGCTCTTCTTGGGGAGATTGGAGGTTGTGGCAACATACATGTCTCTAGGGTGCATCTCTGGGGCATGGCCCAGTGGCAGGAGGTTCACCTCCAACTTCTCCGCAAGGCTTGGAGCTGTTGGTTAGGTAGGAAGAGTGGGGAACAGTTGCCCTGTGACCAGTGCCAGAGGTGGCGACCCAGTGATCCAGGCCTGATCCTCCTTTTTCTACTCATAGCATCTACACACCTGTGGAACACACAGGAGCACAGCCTGCTGTCCCACCAGGCTGATCACACATTACTACAGTTGTTGAGACAAAATACAAAACACCCCAGATTAGAGGAAAGATTTATTTGTAGAGATTTCAGTCCATAATCAGTTGGCTCCCAGGCATGGCGGCATGGCAGATGGGCAGCAGTTCATGGCTGTGGAAGACAGCAAAAGCAACAAGAATAAAAGGAAAAAGCAAACCTCTTTTCCTCCTTTGTATTGTGTGCAGGCTATCTGCCCTACAGAGGGTGTAGCACTCTGCCAGTCCCAGCACTAGACAATGAACCAATCAAAACTCCAGGTTCAGCCTCTTTCAGAAAACCTACCCCCATGACTGCATCCAGACACAAACCTAGCAGCTCAGAGCAGCCCTCTCCTATGGCTGCCTGATGTAGCTGGGACCTCAGTAGAGGGGACCCTTGCCTATAGGCAGAACCCATGTTAAAGTGTTTTAGGTTTATTTGCATGGACATTCCCTCCCTGTATGCTCCTCCCTTAAGGACTATAGCTATGCTTTCTATAAAGAGGTAAAGAGAAAAAGAACTTTTTCGGATTTACAGAGTAAAGAAACAAGAAAACATCTTTTTGACTCTAATTTTAAGTTCTACAATTGCTGTTTGCTCCCATTTCCCCCCTGCAAATTACCAACATTAAATTGAAAGCCTCTGAAGAGGAAGAAGGAAGTGAGTTTTAGGGAAGAGAAGGAGAAAAAAAAAAAAAGAAAAGCCAGTGAGTTTCTTCTTGGTTTGAGGTTCTCCCAGGTCCCAAGGATGACATCAACTACTGCTGAATAGAGTAGTACCTTGAATAGGAACTTCCAAGGGGATTCCCTAGCCTTCCTAAAAGGGGAAGGCATGGCATTGGGGAGACCAGGTTTATGCCTTTCAGATTTGAGAGTGAGAGGTGAGTGAGAAATAGAGAAGTAGGATTTAAAAGAGCAGTTGAGGGGCTGGGGAGATGGCTCAGTGGAATAAGTGCTTCCCTGGCAAGCTCAAGTGCCTGAGTTCAATTCCCGGTTCTGCCAAAAATAAACTAAAAGAGCAGGCTGTGCTGGCCCC